TCATGATCAACATCAATGTGATCCAACAGTTCTGCATAATCTAATAAAATATCATCATATCTTGTATTTTTTTGGTTAATTTTTCAATAAAACCTTTGAAAATTACATGTGTTTTACACAATATTGTAGTGACATGACAATATGATTCCAATGCATTAATATCAAAGATTATATTGAAAAATTAACAAAAAATACAAGATATGATGATATTTTATTAGATTATGCAGAACTGTTGGATCACATTGATGTTGATCATGAAAATATTCATGATGATGATGATGCAAATGATGACACGGAAGAATCTGACAATCGAGAAGGCGATATTTCTAATGATACATTTCAGCGAATTGAAAATATAAAGAAAAGAACAATGTCAAATCAATCAAAACGTAGAAGTAAAGGACTTTGTCTCAAATAAGATGATGTATTTTGTGAAGGAATGGACAGTACATGTGTGAAACAATATAGACATGATAAAATTTATAATAAAAAAAGTCACCACTTGGTATTTGAATGAAAGAACAATAAGCATTTTCGAAATAACGTTTTATGTATACAAAATTTTGAATTCATATATCTTGCATAAAGAGATTGGAAATTGAATTTTTTTCATTGTTCTAAAAATCTACGTATACAGTAGTGTAAAAATATAGAATCAGTTTGGTGGCAAAAAAATTCGATTTTTTGAACATATTCTCTCGTGTGCATCGTTCATTTACATGCGTTACTTCAGAAATTTGTAATTCAGACTTTTAGTATAATTTACTCAAATTTTTTTGGTATTAGTTGAATAGAGTACACCAGAATCTGATTGTATATGACAAGCTCCAGATACACTGCTAGTTAATCATATATTGATCTCATTCGAGTCAACGAACTGTGACCAAGCGATCTGGATTGCCGTTAGAATAGGTCAAAAGTAAAAGAATCCAAAAGAAAAACGAAAAAATATGATATTTATATTCTCTTTCTATACTTTCACACACACACACGGTCTCTCTCTCCAAATCTATTCAAGCAAATCATTTTGTTTATTTACTAATTCTTTTTAACGCAAAACAAGTGAAATATCATTGAACTGTCTTACACTAAACTTCAGTACAAATTAATTTAGTTTAAAATATATATAAAAATCATGCTGTATCGGATAATGTAGTTTATAGTATTAAATAAAAATCAATTTATTCGTCAAAATTATCGTTTATTTAATATGCTGAACATTTTTTATTCGTTTGAAAAAAGTTCGATAGAAATATGAAAAACAGGAAAACAAAAGAAAGTGTATGTTTTTGCACATATCGGGGTTGTTTTTTCTCAAACAAATTTAACAAGATTAGACTATCAATTGAACACAGTTCTAGACAAGACAAAGCGTTTATTCTTTTTTAACGAAATAAACATTCTATATTGCATTTGTAAAAAATACTATTTGCAAAAGAAAACATCCCGATCCCCGTATCTTTTCTACTTTTAGATTAACGATGGTGCGTACACTATCAATTCTAATATTTTTACTACTACTATGCTACAAACATTTGGTTTTGAGTTATAATCCAATTCCAACTGGTGCTGTTATTATAACAACAAATTCGACAATATTTGTTTTACGACCTATTGAATACAACGGCACTGATATGTTAACACCTGTCTTTACGACTAATGGTTCATATCTAATTGTAAATACTGTATTTGATTCATCGGCACGATATTTATATATTCTCTATGTGCAGAATGATATATACTATATCGGACAACTCGTCGGGTATCAACAAATATCCAATATTTATGTATTAGCCTATTCGTGGCTTAATAATAACATCTCGTCATTTACATCTGATATAAATAATCGTCGAATATTTGCTGCAAGTACAAATGATATTTATGTATTTTCTATGGGTGGTTTGATGTATTCGAATGTGGGAACAGATTTTAAAACTTTACAATCAATTTATTATGATTCGAATGATAACCGTTTCTATGTATTAACATCAACAACAATTTCCACTTGTTATCAATCTGGTGTGAATAATACATTGACCTGTCCATGCAGTATTAGTTTGAGTTCAAATTTTCGTTATGTCACAGCTGATCCAAATAATAATGCTATCATATATTTAGTACAAGAACCAAATAGACTTAATACAGCAAGTATTAATGCCGCTGGTTGTCCTTTAGTACTTCTATCGGAATCAACCGTTGATCAATATTCTATCAGCTATATAGCGGTTGATGGTAATAACATCTTTAGTGTCGCTAGTACATCTCAAATGGAAACTTATACAACATTGCTTATCGGTAGTTTTTCATCGCCAGCAAAAAGAAACGTATCAGTTGATCAAATTATTCTTGCAATACAATTATCTCCACCTCTACAACAAACAGTACAAACTGTTGAAGAATGTTTTCGTGGTATTACTTATTATGATTATCGAGTAGCTGTCTGTTTAGCAGCAATATTTGGTACCATAATGGGCATTCTATTATGTTTTAATTCATTATTTCTTATTGATACACTAATGACAAAGAGAATAATTCGAGATTTGAAAAAACAAATACCAAAAGATCTTGTTGAAGATAGATGGAATAAATTAGTGGAAGAAAAATATGCTAAAGTAGCATTAGAACGTAAGTATATTATTATTTAATAACAGCAAAAAAGTTTTTTTTCAAATTTAATAAATTTATTAATTCTAGTTCATCGAAATAAACAAGCAAATATACCACCACCAAAGCCAAGATTTGAAGATAAAGATAATAATGCTGAGAGTGGTGGTGGTGATAAATCACGCCTTTCAGTTTCAAATGTTACAAATTATATTCGACGAAAAAGTGGAGATTTGATTGGACGACGTAAATCACGAGATCAATCGATTCAACCACCGCAAACAACAATTCATGAAACTGGTAATGAAGATTCAGAATATAAAATGAAATATAATTTAAGTCA